AGAAGTGGGTCACTGGGGATGTGCCCTGAAAGGGTGCCTCTTCCCTGCAGCCCCTTCCCTACCTTGCTTTGCTTCTTGACCCCACCACAAGTTGAGCAGCGCTCCTCTGCTGGGCCCTTCCCCCATGATGTGCTGCCTCACTTTGGGCCCAGAGCAGTGGACTCAGCCCTCTATGGACTTAGAACTCTGAAATCACAAGCCCCAAATAAGCTTTTCCTCTTCTAAGTTGTTCTTGTTGGGTATTTTGGTCACAGTGATGAAAAAAAGAGAATGGAAACAAGAGAAATGCTCCTTCCTGTCATGGAATTTACCAAAATAAAATAAATTATCTGGCAGGTACTAAGAACTTTGGTGAAAATGTGGTAGAGAGTGACTGTTGGGGGAGGAAACCTAATTTAGACAGGATCATAAGGGAAAGTCTTGGTAAGGAGTTGTGTTTAGGCTGAAACCTGGTTGGAAAAAAAAGAAGCCTCTACAAAGATCTGGGCAAAGAACATTCTGGGCAGAGAGAACAGTTAGTACCAAGGCTCTGTGGGTGCACACAACCTTGGCATGACTTAAGAACAGAGAATGCAAGTGTGCTGAGGCATAGCAAGGGAGAGGAAGGCGACATCAGAAGAATTTGAAAGGGGAACAGTCCAAATGACAGGGGCTTCATAGACCTGGATAAGAGTTTGGGTCTTTATCTTAAAAGCAATGGGAAGGTGCTGATGTTAAGCAGATAGGTGATATGATTAGAGTTAGGATTTTCTGGCTTATGTAAGAGGAAATTTGAGCAAAAATAAAATTGAGATAAGTTAGTAGGCTGCTGCAAGAGTTCAGGTAAGAGACGTGGGTGGTTCATTGTGGGAGAGTGGCAGTGGAGATGGAAAGGTTTGATAATATGCTTGAGAGGAATCTAAGAGGTAAAACTGAGAGTGCTATGCAGTGACTTAGAATTTGTAGAGAGGACACAGGGAACATATGCAAGAAGCTGATTGTCCAGTCATAGGGATAGGAACTAGGAAAAATATTGAAAGACAGTAACCTCCACTCCCACCAATAGCATTTAATAGTTCCTGTTTGAAGTTGAGCATGGTGGTGCACTCAGAAGCTCAGGAGCCTGAGGCAGGAAGATCACAAGTTCAAAGCAACTTGGAGAGGCCCTAAGCAACTTAGGGTGACCCTGTCTCAAAATAGAAAATAAAAACAGGGAGGGGGATGTGGCTCAGTGGTGAGCATCCCTGAGTTCAATACCTGGTATAATAAATAAATAAAATAATAATAGTAATAGTAGTAATAATAACTCCTGCTTGGGTTGGAGATAGAGCTCAGTAGTAGAACTCTTGCATAGTATGTGAAAGGTGCTGGATTCAATTCCTAGCACTGCCAAAAAAAAAAAAAAAAAAAAATCTCTGTATTGGGAGTGGCACAGAGAGGACAGAGGAAGGTGGGTGGCAGGTTCATAAGTAAGTCACACATTACCACTCAAGAGCTCACATCTCACAGCATAAGTGCATCAGTAGATGTGCAATACAAAAAACAAACTCTTAGGAATAAGACTCAATATATGTGACAAACCATTAAGCTCTGTCTGCAAAATACTGTTAGGAAGTAGGAATAGGAGAGGCTAAAGGCTAGGTTGAAGTGGCGTTTAGTTGGGAAGGAATATGCCAACTCTACTGGCAGAAATAAATTTTTACCTTTCCTCTGAGAATATGGGGGCAAGCCAAGGAGCAGGAGAGGAACCAGAGATTCAGCCTACCTACTTCTGTCCTCTCTAAACATGAAACTTCACACATGGAAGAGCCTGCTCCCAACATGTGACACCAGTAGGATCTAATTTGTAAAGTTTAAGAGCCAGAAGATATCAGATATCTGGTATAACAAATACACTAAAGCCTAGAGTGATTAACTGACCTGAAAAGGAGAATTGGCTAGTAAATAACTGCACCAAAACTAGAAGCTGGATTGGACCCAAGGGTGCTCTACCACTGAGCTATATCCCCAACCCTTTTATTTTTTATTTTGAGACAAGTTCTCCCTAAGTCACTGAGGCTGGCCTTCTGAGTCACAGGGTTTACAGGCCATTATATCTAGCTAGAAGTTGGATCTTCTAATCCCTGGTTCTGTGATGCTCCCAGATCCTGCCAAAAATCTAGGGTCACTCACATAAAAAAAAAAAAAAATGCACAAATCAGGTTCCTAACTGGGTTTGTGGTTATGAGTCTTTGTGGTAATGTCTTGTTTCTCTTAAATTCCTCTAACAGGCTCCCTCTTGTGGGACACCCTTCCAGGACATCTTATATCAATCCACTGCAAATTCTCAAAATGGCTCTTCTGAGGGACATTCAATTCTGTGCTTTCTCATTCTAGCCTCTGGCCAAAACATTTCCATTTCTGGAGAGATGAAGCCCCTGAATCTCATGTAAATCACCCCTTACCTCTGCTTGCTGGGCTCCTCTTTTACCTTCTCATTTGATTTTTACAAATGTTGTTCTTTTATACATACCGATGGCATTTGATTTAGAACAACACTTGGATAGGCAAAATAAATGAAGATGGCATATTCTCAATTTACAAAAAAATGGGATGTAAAATCATTCCTAAGTAATAGGGATGTAGTTTTTCTCTCCTGATTCTGGCCAGGAAAGTATTAAGAAATATTAATTGGCAAGCTAGAGATTCCATCCCTAAGAAATCACTCTTTAGCACAATGTTTTATGAGGGACCTAGACAAACTAGAAGGAAGTACGGGAGGAAAATTATTATGAGATTTATGCATTTAGAAATTTCCCATCAGACAGGGTCTGTCAATGGAAAGGGGCTTAGAGATGTGGGTCATGGAGGCCAAAATTTAGATGGCAATATTAAAAAAGTCAGAGAGTTCTAATCAGGCAGCTACTTTTTTATTTTTAAACTGGGGATTGAAGTGGCCCTTTACCACTGTACTAAGCCCCTAGTCCCCGCTTTTTTTTTTTTTTTTTTTTTGAGATAGGATCTCACTAAGTTACTGATCACCTCACTAAGTCACTAAGGCTGACCTTGAATTTTCAATCCTTCTGCCTCAGCCTCCCAAGTCACTGTGCCTGGTTAATCAGGCAATTATTGTGCTATTCCTATGCAAACTATATTTCAAAGGAACCACATAGTAGATAAAGGAGAGTGGTCTTTATAGAAATATTCCAGCTAATAAATGAAGAAGAAATGATTGGAATAAAATGTTACCATTTGGCAACCCCAAATAAAATAAGGGATTACCAATGGCTACTAACATCATAAGAAGAGAGAAAAGAAGGAGGGTGTGGTGGTGGCACACACCTATAATCCCAGTGATTTAGAGGCAGGAGGATTGCAAATTTAAGGCCAGCCTCAGCAATGTAGCAAGACCCTGTCTCAAAATAAAAAATAAGAAGTACTCAGTGGTAGAGCAACCAAGGACTCAATCCCCATTATCAAAACAAAGGGCCCCACACCACCAAAAAAAAAAAAAAAAAGCGATGAGCACTCAGTTCCCTCGTTAGCTCATTGCACCCTTAGCCCTCCATTCTTATTCCATCAGAATCAAAGACCCCAGCCTAGGATCCTGTAAAGCTCCCTCAGAATTGGACTACATCCCTCAGTCATTTCTAAATCCACAGTGCTTAATGGATGGAATATGGTTCCTCCAGTTCCGTGTCCCAGAGGCACTAACAAATCCTAGACCTGGTCTGGTCCATGTTGTTGAAGAGAAAGAACCGCAGATTGGAAACCTAGTCACCAGGAACCAGATCTGGCTCTTTTATAACCATGTGAACTAATGAGTCATGTCATTTAGCATTTTTGCACCTTAGTTTTCCAATAGATTAAAAAAAAAGTTCCTCATTATAAGACTGAGGGACACCTGGAGACATAGCCAGAATTTCCTGGAAAAAAAAAAGACATTAGTAATAGTAGTTTAACAAGAAACTCTAGAGACATTACATTTATAATTCAACAACAAAATGTGTGTGTGTGTGTGCACGAACCCGCATGTATTTCAGATAAATAAAACCTTGGGCAGAAGGTAAGTTAAGTATCACTCAGGCTTGAGAGGAGATAAAAGTCTAGCAAATTTAAGGGCCAGGGCTAGGACTCAAACACTTTACCTTCTCAATGAAGTCAGTGTTCTTTCCAATAACCTGACTTCCCTTGATTTATTTCAATTAAATATAGGAATGTTCTAGTGCATAAAATGAATGGCCCTACAAGGGTCAGAGAGTTGCATTAACCTAAAAGTAAAGGGACACAATGACCCAGCAAATTAGAAAACAAGATTGCTTCCTTTAGCTAAATGCCAGGAAGGATTCCTGTAATATCATTTGACATTTTCAGCAATTTTGCTTCCACAGTTTTACAGTCTTCCTCCAGGTCCTTCTGGCTTGTTCATCATTTTCTATGCCTCAAATGACAGCAAACCTATAGTGGAAAAACCTCACACACTGTCCTACAAAGAGATCTGAGATTCTTTTAGCCTCTAAGTCACAAAACCACAAACATCCTCTATGGTAATTCTGCCTTGTCATGGTGATGAGACATCTGGTGACTAAAGCCTGTATAGCACTAGTAAGAGAGAGTTTCCATTTTATTAAATTTAGGTGTTCAGACCCCAGACCTTGTAAGTTCTGAACTAGAGTGGCTTGAATTATAAATTTCTTATTGAGTTATAGACTGTATTATATATATTATATTATATTATATTATATTGAATATCTTTTAAGGCCCAGACACTGCTTTTAAGGACTTTATATAAGAACTCAAAAAATATTTTTTTTGTTTTTGTTTTTGTTTTTTTAGCAGTGCTGGGGATCAAATTCAGAGGCCTCATAGACAGACTATACCCACAGCCCAAGACCTCAAATATTAATCATTGAGCACCTACTTTGTGCCAGGCACTGTACCAGATGGTTTACATGAGATCTCTAGGCCACATTCCTTTCACCTCTAGTAACCAGACATTAATCATTTAAACACATATTTCCCTAAGGGTGAGTTACATACACTGAAGTAATGTCTTTTGTGTTCAGAACATTATTTGGACCCTGTAAGTTCATCCTCTTCATTGTAACACAGAAAAGAAAGAGAACAGATTAGGGTCTGACTTGAGTCACCAATGCCCAGGTTTTCTCTATTTGGGGTATCTGAAGACAGTAGCAATGGAAATTTGAAAAGTAATAGCAGAACCACTAAAGACCATTTCCTAAATCAAATGGGTGTTTTGATGGCATAAGAGATGAGCTTTCTGCCGGAAGCTCTTATCACATTTACTACAGTGAAATGGTTTTTCTCCTGTATGTGTTCTCTGGTGCGTGAGAAAATGGGAACGCTGGTTGAAGGTCTTGCCACATTCGGGACAGGGGTAGGGTCTGTCTCCTATGTGAATGCGTTGGTGGGTAGTGAAATGGGAGCTCTGATTGAAGCTCTTTCCACACTCGCCACATTTGTAGGGTCTTTCTCCTGTGTGGATTCGTTGGTGCTTAATGAGGGCAGAGCTATCAGCAAATCCCTTCCCACAGTCTTTGCACTTAAAAGGTCTCTCACCGGTATGTGTCCTCTGGTGTGTAACCAGATGGGAACTCTGACTGAAACTTTTGTGGCACTCAGGACAACTGAAAGGCCTTTCTCCTGAGTGAGTACTCATGTGTGCTACAAAATGAGAACTGTCTCTGAAGCCCTTCCTACACTCTGGGCATTTAAAAGGCCGTTCTCCTGTGTGGGTTCGTTGGTGCTTAATCAAATCTGAGCTCTGGCTAAAACTGTCCCCACAGTCGTTACACCTGTAAGGCTTCACGCCTGTGTGAATCCTCTGGTGGGTGATGAAATTTGAGCTTCGACTGAAGCTTTTATGACATTCGAGGCACGTGTAGGGCTTTTCTCCTGTGTGGGTTCTTTGGTGCATTGTGAGGTGTGGCTTCCGTCCAAAAGTCTTCCCACACTCTGGGCACCCATAAGGTCTCTCCCCTGTGTGGGTTCTCTGATGTTTGATGAGAGTTGAGCTGTCGCTGAATTTTTTCTCACACTTGCTGCATTGGTAGGGCTTCTCTCCTGTGTGTGTTCTGCGATGAGTGACGAGGTCTGAGCTCTGTTTGAAGCCTTTCCCACACTCGATGCATTTATAAGGTCTGTCACCAGTATGGGTTCTTAGGTGTCTTATGAGATAAGAACTCTGGTTAAAGCTTTTCCCACATTCTGCACACATAGGCTTCTTTCCTACATATCCACGCAGGAACTTGTTTAAATCCCTGGCCTGTGCAAAGGGCTCCTGCTGGCCCTCTCCTGGAAGCATTCTATGTTGCTCTCCTACTTCAAGGGCCCTGTCCCAGTTTCCTCCCCAATTAGGAACATGAGAAATATTTTTATTGGTCCTTTCTGAGGATGTTCCACATTGTTCTGTTGTTTCAGAAATGTCCTGACTGAGTTTTGCCACCTGATGGTCAAAGTCTGAAAAATTAATGGAAATAACACAGAATAAAGTTATCAGTTGTAAGAAAAGAACATAAAAAATCAGTTAAGAATGATTAAAATTACAGTAGCAGTAGGCTACACTTAATTTGATCACTCTGCTTGTTATTTTATTTGCAAAGTTTGTTGAGGACTAAGTGTGGCTCAGGGTAAGGTGCTTGCCTACCATGCATGAGGCCCTGCATTCAATTCCTTGCAATGGAGAAAAAAAGGTATACCATATATTGTCAAAATTGGGCAACTTCCTTTAAAGATGTTATAGTATAGATAAAGTGAAATGCTTACTCAAAATGAAGTCAATTTCTGACTGACTGCCCAAGAAATCAAATGTAAACTTTGCTAATAAAAACAAAAGTCTAGGGCAAGAGTTTAATACTCCTGTGACTTAGGTTATTATATATTTTTGCATTTTTTTTCCTGGAAAAAAAAAGTCAGGGAAGCAGTCAAAATTTTTCATCTAAAGAAGAGCTAAAATTCTAGATTTCCTCCTACTAGGTAGCACTAACGTCTCACCTGTGTGACTTTTCCTTAGGATTGTCATTGTTTCAAAGTTTTGTAGTGGTAGAACCCATGGTGCTTCTTTCTGCTCCAGCTGGGAGATTACACTTGGTCTAGAAATCCTACACAGGAAGATGAATGAACATAGGATGTGAATATAAGCCAAGCATACAAGGCCTGACCAGACACCAAGCTCTCTACTTTCCCTAGGTAAAGAACATAAGTGGACTGTTAATGTGTGTTTGGGCTCATTAAAAGGGCAACCAGAGTGTGGGGCACATGCCTGGAATCCCAGTGACTCGGGAGGCTGAGGCAGGAGGATGACAAGTTTGAGGCCAGCCTCAGCAACTTAGTGAGACCCTGTCTCAAAATAAAAATTAAAAAGTGCTCAATGTATAGCACTTCTAGGTTCAATCCCCAGTAATGGGGGAAAAAAAAGCAACCAGGTGAAGTGCTAATAGAGAATGGTTGCTACAGGAGGCTAAAGGGGAAAAAGCTTTTTTCCTCTGATTAAAAACAAAAACAAAAACATGGGGCTGGGTAACTAGTGGTCGAGAACTTGCTTAGCATGCACAAGGTTCTGGATTCGATTCCCAGCCCTGGGAAAGCACATGCATGCATGCGTGCGTGCACATACACACACACACACACACACACACACACTCACTCACACATTCACACAAGCCAGACTTGGATGATAGACACTCTGGAATAAGCACCATAATTCATTTCTGAAGACACAAGGTTAAACCAATGTAGAACGATAAACTCATCAGAAACAAAGCTGCCATAATCTAACCATTAAAAAGAATCAAGGGAGTTAACAATAATGTTTGGCTTTACAATTTTCCCAGAAAGGCAGCTGTTGATACAGCCATGAGAAAAAGACAAAAACTTGTTAAGGGGAAAAAAAATGGACAAAGAATGTGAATAGGGGGCTATAGTTGTAGCTCAGTGGTGGAGCACTTGCCTGGCATATATGAGGCCCTGGGTTTGAGCCAGCACCGCATATAAATAAATAAATTAAATACAGGTCCATTGGCAACTAAAAAAAAAAGAATGTGAAGAGGCAATTGGACGAAAGAAAAAAAGCAGCCTATAAATGTATGACAAACCCTTAACTTTACCATTGACTGAAAAAATTCAAATTAGAACAATGATCTACTTAGGTAATACAGTATAGAGGTAAAGAATACAAACTCAAGAGTCATATGCCTGAATATGAATGTTAACCCTGCCATTTACAAGCTGGTGACCTCGGAAATGCTATTTAAACTCTGTGTCTCAGTGTCTTCATCAATAAAATAGGGTTAGTGCTCACTTCAGCAGCACCTATACAAAAATTGGAATGATACAGAGATTAGCAAGGTCCCTTCCCAAGAATGACATGCAAATTTATGATGTGTTCCATATTTTTAAATAAATAAATTAAATATGAGCTGGATATAGTGACACATGCCTTTAATCCCAGCAACTATGGAGGAGGAGGAGGCAGGAGGACTGCAAGTTCAAGGCCAGCCTCAGCAATTTAGCCAGGCCCTAAGCAATTTAGCAAGACCCCCCCCAAAAAAAAAAAAAAAAAAAGATAATAAGGTCTACATTAGAGGATTTTTCTTGAGGATTAAGTTTAACTCTTTAAAACACCCTATCATTGTTATTTTACCCCAACTCTTAAATTAGAATATTCACTCTCATAGATAAAATAGAAAGAAATGAACATTTTCATTTACTGCCGTGGTAATATATAATTGATTCAATCTTCTTGTAAGGAACTTGGCAAACTACCAAATACTTTAAATACCTTAGAAATGTATCCACTCTCGGGCTGGGGTTGTGACTCAGTGGTAGAACACTGTGTGAGGCACTGGGTTCGATCCTCAGCACCACATAAAAGTAAATAAAAATAAAGGTATTGTGTTCATTTACAACTAAAATAATTTAACAAAATGTGAAGTGGTTATGTTAAGTAATGTACAGAAAGATATTATTACCAAAATATACATTCACAATATAGGCACAATTGAATGTACAGTATAATTCAAATATTCTTTTGTGGTTTTGGGGTTTTTTCCTTTCTCTCTCTCTCTTTTTTTTTTTTTTTTTTTGTACTGGCAATGAACTTGGGGATGCTTTACCACTGAGCTACATCCCCAGCCCTTTTTATTTTTTATTTTGAGATATAGTCTTGCTAAACTCCCGGCTGACTTTGAACTTTTGATCCTCCTGCATCAGCCTCTAGAGTTGCTAGGAATACAAGCATGGGCCACCAAGCTCAGCTTTTATTTTTTTGACAAAGAGTCTCCCCTGTGTCTAAACTGCTCTTGAGCCATGATTCTCCTGTCTCAGCCTCTAGAGTAGCTGGAATTACAAGTATATGCCACCATCCTCATTTTTTATTTTGTTTTATAAATTTTATATATGCTTATAAAAAGGCTGGTAGGGAGCTAGGGATATAGCTCAGTTGGTAGAGTGCTTGCCACACATGCATAAGGCCCTGGGGTTCAATCCCCAGCACCACAAAAACAAACAAACAAATAAATAAATAAAAGCTGGTAGTTAGTAACTCACTAGTGATAGGATTAGGGGTGACTTCTGTTTTCATTTTGCCTGTCTTTTTCATCAGTGAGTATTAATTTTTTTACTGGGGATTGAATCCAAGGCCTTATGCATGCTATAAGCAAGAGCTCTATCAGTGACTTACTTCTCCAGTCCATTGGTATTTTAGAAAAAGCACTGGAAGTATTTTTTTTGTTTAAGTGATAGGTAAAAACCCCATGGGGACAGTCCTCCCTTTTCCACAAAGACCTGGGTTGGATTTTTACCTCTGCCCCTTCTGAGTGTCAGTGTTCTTCACTAGAAAAAGAGAACAGTAGCAGATCTATCAAAATATTATAGTGAGATAGTAAGAAAATGATAAATATCAAAGATATCTGTTGCCAAGCACAGTGGCCCATGCATGCAATCCTGGCTACTCAGGATGATGAGGTAGAAAGATTACAAGCTCAAGGCCAGCCTGAGCAATTTAGCAAGATCCTGTTTCAAAATTTAATTTTTTATTTATTTTTTTTTAGGGCTGAGGATGTAGCTTAGTATAATGCTGGGTTCAATCCCCAGTATCGTTTAAAAACAAACAAACAAACAAAAAAAAAAAAAAACCAAAAAACACAACCCTGAAAAACATAAAGTGCCATAAAAATATAAAAATAGAAGTCACTCTTAGTCTTTTTCTGCCAAGGAGCAACAATTAATTTCAGATATGTCTAGGAATCTAAGAAACCAGTGTCCCCAGATACCACTCAGACTTGGGCCCTTTCAAAATATCTAAATTTTAAATTTTGGTGGGCAAGGCAGTCCCGGGGATTGAACTCAGGGGCATTCAATCACCAAACCACATCTCCAGCCATATTTTGTATTTTATTTAGAGATAGGGTCTCACTGAGTTGCTTAGTACCTTGCTTATTGCTGAGGCTGACTTTGAACTGGCGATCCTCCTGCCTCAGCCTCCCAAGCTTCTGGGATTACAGGCATGCACCATTGCACCTGGCTTAAGTTTTAAAGCTTAAGGAGAGTAGCATCCTTACCCTTTGAGAGCCCATTCTTCTAACTGTGCTGGGTGGCATCCCTGAAGAGAATTCTTTAAGCAGTGTCCAGGTAACCCACTCTTCCCTGAAGTCCCCAGCCACATCATTGAGGGTCATCAGTTCCTAAAGCAAGAAACCTCAATATGCATCAATAGCTCCCTAGATATTCTCACTATTGTCTGAAAACCAAAAGATGGACACTGTATACCCAAACCAAACAAAAAGCCCCTTGACTAGAACAGTCTTGAGGTAAATTCTGTCAATGACAGAAGAGTTGCCTTTCTTTCTTTCTTCCTTTTTTTGTACTGGCAATGGAATCCAGGAATGCTATACCAATGAGCTACATCCACAGACCTTTTTTTTGTGTGTGTGGGGGGGCGGTACTGGGGGTTGAACTCAGGGGGAACACTCAACCACTGAGCCATATCCCCAGCCCTATTTTATATTTTATTTAGAGATAGGGTCTCACTGAGTTGCTTAGCACCTCACTGTTGCTGATGCTGGCTTTGAACTTATGATCCTCTTGCCTCAGCCTCAAAAATCACTGGGATTACAGGTGTGGGCCACCATACCCAGCTCTTTTTATTTCATTTTGAGACAGGGTCTCTGGCTTCGATCTTGCAATCCTCCTGCCTCAGCCTCCTGAGTTGCTGGGATTACAGGTATGTGCTACTGAGCCTGGGGATTTCTTTTCTTATTCTGTTTTCACATAATCCTTCATATAGCCAACTTTCCCATCACTAAGAGAGGTCTGGACCTCCCAGATACGTCTACAAAACCCTCAATCTTTTTGATAGCTTAACTTTTTAAGGAACCTAGTGTTCATAATGGAAAAAGATAAAGGAGAGAGATTGCAAGTATAATTCAATTTCTGAAAAGCTTTCAGTTCTCTCCAACTACATTTTACTCAGCAAATTAGAAAATTGTGGACTTTTCTTATTTTAGTTTGAGAATAGCAGACTCTTCTTGGCTTATAGATTTGGGATCAACCTCAAGGAAAAGACTATGCAGAATCCCAAGGGGAATTTTGCTGGGAACCATTCTATTTCAAGGTTTAATGGCTTCAAAAATGAGATGTAAAAATACATGGGCTAAAAAAAAAAATGGATAAGTTGTAAAATAAGTAAAACTCAATGGGGAGAAGCACAAAACACATCCCTTAATGCTGAAAACTGTCATAACATTGACAGCAGTATCATGAAAAGATTATTTTGAGGGAGAATGGTAGGAGTTATTACTGGATAAATCTGTAAATCCTTCCGTAATTAACATAGTGTAAGGCAGTAGGAGTTCCCCCTACCGCTTAAAGAGTTTTCAATAGAAACCCCAAGTCAGCCAGCTGGTGGACCATCCCCTACAAAGAATTCTGCATTTCAGTGGAAGAAAAACCAGACTGGAGTGAGGAGGTATTAGTCTTTCACATCTTTTTGTTTTGCTTTTGTTTTTTGGTCCCAGGGATTGAATCTTGGGGCACTGTACCTAAGCTACTCCCCCAGTCCTTTATTTTTTTAATATTTTAAAGTTGTGGGCTGAGGATGTGGCTCAAGTGGTATCATGCTCGCCTAGCATGGGTGAGGCACTGGGTTCGATTCTCAGCACCACATAAAAATAAAATAAAGATGTTGTGTCCACCTAAAACTAAAAAATAAATTTACAAAAATATTTTAAAGTTGTTGATGGACCTTTATTTTATTTATATGTGGTGCTGAGAATTGAACCTAGTGCCTTATGCGTGCCAGGCAAGCTTGCTACCACTGAACCACAACCCCAGCCCCAGTCCTTTATCTTTTATTTTGAGATAGGGTCTCCCAAAGATTCTGTGGCTGGCCTTAAACTTGCACTCCTCTTGCCTTAGTCTCCGAAGTGGCTGGGAATACAGGCATGAGCCACTGTGTCAGGCTCTTTAACATCTTTTGTTCCACTAAGCAAAGTACCTGCTTACTATTTGAATATACACCGTTTTAATAGAAATATTTAGGTATTTACAGACACTGCTATTGCTCATTTATATTTTTAAGGATCTAAACATTGTAGGAGTACACTTCATCTCTCTGACTTAAAACCTTATCAGAAATAATGTCATTAGGAAGTAAAATTTATAAGTTTTGACTACAGATTTTATTTCTACATTCATTACAAAACACATAACTGCAGAGCTCACTTGCAGTAGATAGTGTGATTGAAGGAGAGATCATTCTTAGCTATGTTTTTATAAAAAAAACAAAAACAAACAAACAAAAAAAACCTGTTTCCCACCCAGTCTCCTTTCTCCTGTACAAGTGACCCCAAAGGCCTTGGAATGCTAAGGTGCTATGACTAAGTGCCATTGTGAGATGTGCGAGTTTCCTCCTGGGTTTATTAATAGGAACATGACCGCACCGGTGGGGCTGACACCCGTTCTTCCTCGCGGTGCTCCAGGCCTTAATCAGGGTGCAGCGGTCATAGGGTCACAGAGATAAGCTGAAACCCGGGGACCACCACTAAGGAGCAAGAAAATTGACTAAGATGATGCACTATATACCGAGGGTGGTATAGAAACTGCATCTCCCCACAGCTCAGCAAGACCAGGGGCTCCTACAGGGCGAGAGCCTGGACCTGGCGTGAACAACGTCGGGTAGGCAGGCGAGCCCCCCTCCACGCCCCTCAGCAGCTGGTGAGGTGTAGCCTCAGACTCCCTCCCTGGATCACTCACCGCCCCAGGCCCAGCCGGGGATGGAGCAGGAAGCAGGAGTCCGCCGCCGAGCCGCACCCAGCCGGCAAAACTGAGCAGGTCCTTCCAGAACCTGACTGGGATTCGTGTCAGGGCTGTAAGGACACAGGCGGGACTCAGGGTTCGACAGCCAGCAGCCGGAAAACGCCGCCCCTGGCTCACTCCATTGGTTTCTCTGTTACCACAACTTGAAATTCTCCTGAGTTATTGGGCAATTAGCCGTCAATCATTGCAAAGCCTCCTGGGAAATGTAGTCCTTAACTAGCTCGCAAAGGATTCCGAGTTCTGTGGTGCCCAGTTCCAAGTGCTTGACAAGTACTAAACCCATTTCTCGAGCTACTGAACCACGGGAATCGCCTCTCCAGAGCCGAGGGCCAGATCTAAATGCTGTACCTCAGAGGAGGATCTAATGCGAAACTCCAGGTCTCACCGGACTACTATGGAGCAGCCTGGTACCCTGGCGTTATCTCCCTGGCTCTTACACTTCGCCCCTACCAAGCAAGAACAGCTCATCGCTCTGCCTTTCTGCAGATCCTTTCTGCCACGAGTCCTTCGCCTCACTCTGGGCAGCTAGAAACTGCAGAGGCTGTGTGTTGCCGGCCGAGTTCCACACCAACTCGGACTAGGCATAAGAAACCCCCGAGACCCGCCGGGGAAAACCGTTAGTTAACAAACAAACAAACAAACAACGAAAACAGACGTTCTGCTTCCTTCCATTAGCCTCATGCTTCCAGACATATTCCGTTTCCATTGATTCATACACCTATTAATAGAGAATGCAGACGAGGACGTCAATGGTAAGTATTGTGGGAAATGTGGTATCGGGTTCCAAACTGGAGAGGCTCCTGAGTCTTATGTGAGAGACAGTGAGCATTTTGGTGAGAGAAAAAGAAGAAGAAAAAGGAGAAGAAAAAGAACAAAAAGAAGGGGGACGGGGACCTGTCTACTCTGTTAACTCAATGCAATGAAAAATAAAGTGTTTTGGTTTTGTTTTTGTTTGTGAAGGACTCTAAGATACTTAGAATTACCAGACAAATGGCTCCTGTGGAAAATTCCTTTGATGCTAATTCCACCAGTCCTTCAACAAACAGGCAAGGTACACCCTCCAACAAACACACATGGTACATCCTCCAACAGATATTTATTGAGAACACTCTATAAACATTCTGTATTTAAGATCATTCTGAACTCTGTGGTTACCCACAGGAATCAGCATGGCCCTTGCTTTCATGAAACTCACAGCCTAACAGGGGAGATCAGCCACAAAACATATTAAAATCAACCTGGGGGCATAGTAGCATGTACTTGTAATCCTAGCTCTCTAGGAGACTGAGGAGGAAGGATCACAACTTTGAGGCCAGCCTGGGCAAAATAGCAAGACCCTATCTCAAAATAAAAAATAGAAAGGGCTGAAGATATAGCTCAGTGGTAGAGAGCTTGCTTAGCATGAACAAGATCTTGAATCCAATCCCAAGTACCACCAAAAATAAATAAATAAAGTAATAATAAAATAAAAGATTAAAATGCCAAGAAATGTTTTTCTTTCTTTTTCATACAGACAGTGGCATCTTAGTTATTTAGCTACATATTTATAGACATTTATAAGATAACCATTAGCATTTGGGGGATTTTGAACACTATAATCATATATCTGGTTTTGGTTAGCAGTTGTATCTTAGTTAAATGAAAGTGAGAAATTGTGTACATATATGAATATGTAACAATGAATTCCACCATTATGCATAATTATAATGTACCTGTTAAAAAACATGGGGAAAAATGAAAATGAGGAAAATGGAAATCTCACAGGACCTTAGGAGACCTAGAGATCACCAGGCCTCATGTGACTATAACATAGTTCAGGACCTGGAGAACTAAAGGCATCTCCAGGCCCCTAAGGAGTCTTTCTAATATTTTGTTGTCAGGTAGATTTTGTGGCTCTTCAATCCATTCACAGTGAATAGGAAATGGAGATGAATGAAGATTCACAAAATCTGGCTGTTGTCTATTCCCTGCCTCTCTTTCATTCCTTCTATCCCTATTTGTTCTCTCATCATTTCACCACAGAGCAATTATCCAGGAGGGGAAGCTTGATCTCACAACAAGTCAGTAAAGGAAATAAGACCTTGTATCCCAGGTGGCCACATAAAGAAAGGACCATGAGATAATGGAAGTTGAGTGCTTACTGGTGTGGAGAAGAGGAGAAAGTAGAGGAGAGAGAGAAAGGATTTTTTTTTTTTTAAGATGTGGTCTCACTATATTGCGCAGGCTGGTCTTGAACTTCTGAGTTCAAGTGATCCTCCTGTTCTATCCTCTTGAGTATCAGGGACTGTCATCTTATACCACCCTGAGTGATTTATCACTAAATTATGAAAGAGAGGGTATATATCAGTTATTTGTTGCTTTGTAACAATCCACCACCAAACTTAGTGGGTCTATTTATCTATCTATTTATTTATTTATTTTTGAGACAGGGTCTCACTGTGTTGTCCACGTTGGTCTTGAATTCCTGGACTCCAGTGATTTTCCCCCTCAGCCTCCCTGATAGTTGGGACTGCAGATGCACAGCACTGCACCCAACGATTTAGTGGTTTTATTTTATTTATTTATGTTTTGGTAGTGGGTATTGAACCCAGGGGTACTCTACCACTAAGCTACATCCCAAGCCCTTTTTACACTTTTTAAATTTTGAGGTAGGGTATTAATAACTTGCTTTGGCTGGCCTTAACTTGCAATCCTGCTTCAGCCACCTAGTTGCTGTTATCACTGGCATGTGCCATTGGACCAGGATACTTAATGGTTTTATATAACAAACATTTATTAAGTATCACTTCTGTCAGTCAGGAAACTGGAACAGTTTAGTTGAGTGTCTATGACTGACAATATACCATGAGATTACAGTCTAGACACTGGTTGGTGCTGTAGTTATCTAAGGCTTGCTCAGAGCTGGAGGATTTGATTCCAAACTCCTTGGAGAAGCTGTTCCCACTTGTGGTCTCTTCTCACAATACAGCTAATTTCCCCAGAGTGAGTGATTTAAGAGAGAAAGACACAGAAGTTATCTAATCTTGCAAGTGATATACCATAATTTCTGCCATACGTGATTGGTCACACCTTGGTACAGTGCGGGAGAGGACTATAAAAGGACCAGGGGCCTCTTCCCAGGAACTACATCCCCAGTCCTTTTGCTTTTTAAGTTCTGAAACAGGGTCTTAAAGTTGCTTCGTTCCTCACTAACTTGCTGAGACTGTCCTCTAACTAACAATCATGTGCCTCAGCTTCCCAAGAGAGGGTATATATTAGTTATCTGGGATTATAGGCATGCACCACCACACCGAGCTATCAGAGGGTTTAAAGTGCCTTGCTCTGTCAGACTCCTGTGATACCTCTTTAGGAAACTTACAGTAAAAATAAATAAATAATAAAACCTATATGTATGAGGAGTTAACTCAGAATGTCTCTATAATTGAACTAAGATTCTTCAGGAGATTCTTATTATTGTGCAGTTGTTCAGGTTACCAGGTAAAAATAAGTCTCCTTGGGGATTTAAACAGACTAATTTGGGGTAAGTCTTAGTTAATTTAATGTTCAAAAGTCTTAGAAGAGGGTTGGGGTTGTGGCTCAGTGGTAGAGCGCTTGCCTAGCATGCATGAGGCACTGGATTTGATCCTCAGCACCAAATAAAAAAATAAATAAAATAAAGGTATTGTACCCATATTCAACCAAAAAACAAACATTAAAAAAAAAAAAAAAGTCCTATGAGAGTTGTCTCCTCCAAAGTTTCCTTTCTACTTCTTCCTTCCCATGACATTTTCTAGGTGTAAAGGGCCTGGTTCTCCACCCTGGGGGAAAGTGTCACAGGGAAAGGGGTCTGGGGAGGTCCCCAAAAGGAAGAGGGAGATCTCAACTTGGTCCTAGCAGGTTCTTATGCCTCAAAAAGGAATTTCTGGACACATCAAAAGAGAAACAAAGATTTATTTAAGAAAGTAAAAAGATTTGTTTAGGAAAGCTATAGAGCAGGATACATACTCGAAGGGAGGAATGTGGGCACTCAAGGGTGAGGTGCTATTTTGAGTCTTGGGCTCTTTTTTTTTTCCCCCCATAGTTTTTTTATTGGCTGGGGCTGGGGATGTGGCTCAAGTGGTAGCGCGCTCGCCTGGCATGCGTGTGGCCCGGGTTCGATCCTCAGCACCACACACAAACAAAGATGTTGTGTCCGCTGAAAACTAAAAAAATAAATAAATAAATATTAAAATTCTCTCTCTCTCTCTCTCAAAAAAAAAAATTTATTGGCCAGGTATGGTGGGGCACGCCTATAACCCTATCTGCTCTGGAAGCTGAGGCAAGAGGATCGCAAGTTCAAAGCCAACCTCAGCAATTTAGTGAGGCCCCCTGAGCAACTTAGTGAGATCCTGTCTTAAAATAAAATAAAATACATAAAAGGGATGGGGATGTTGCTCAGTGGTTAAGCACCCCTGGGTTTAATCCCAGCTGCAAAAAAAAAAAATAGTACATGATAGTTATATATAATATTGGAGTTTGTTTCAACATAATCATACATGCATAGAAACTCTGTAAACAGTAAACATGGGAAGCATGTGTGTAGGGGGGATGATGTCAAACTGATGAGTTCAGTTTTCTTAATTGTAGAGCACAGGGCAGGTCATGGTGGTCTGGTGCTTTCAGGATTTCGAGATTGATGTCATTCAGTCAATAGATAATGTTTGGAATATATCCCTATCCTAAGTTTCTAACAAATTTTCCATTGGTTTATTTAATCTAAAGACAATATATTATGTAAACTAGCAATGTATGTAGCCATTTCTTATCTGGACTCACAATTCAACCTAAGATTCAAGGTTTATTTATTTATTTATTTAACAAATTCAGGCCTAGAAGTAAAAAGGCTTGGGGAGTAAAGGTAAGGGTGTTTGTGGAGCTTCTCATAATTAAATTACAGAGTTCCTCCCTTCCTTTCTACCTATCCTTATTATTTTTTATTTTTATTTTTTTTTCTACTGGGGATTAAACCCAGGGGCACTTAACCACAGGACTATATTCCCAGCCCCATTTATTTATTTGTTTTAATTTTTTTTTTTAAAGAGAGAGAGAGAAAGAATTTTCAATATTTATTTTTTAGTTTT